TTCTCCCCCTCCCCCCCAAAAAAAAATAAGGATTCTGGAGAACAAACTAATTTTATACAACGTACGCGCTGCGTGTGGGCGCGCGCGTGTTTGTGTGTGTGTGGAATAATATAATGAAATGTGTACATACTCGTGCGCACTATGATCGTAGAAAGATTTAAATAAAAACTAATCGTTATGCGCGAAATAATTCTCTGTATGCAAATGAAGGAAATATATAAATGGACTTTCGCACCGGCAGAATTGCAAGATATTCGCGCGCGTCATAATTTTACAAGGCACATTCATTCATTCATTGAAATTAAATTTACATAGAAGAGTGTCGCGGTCCGCGCGTGCGTTTATCATCATCAATATAAATTAGCCGCGTCCGATTAGCGATAGATCTGGAAGAGGCGGAATTATTATCTCACGTCATTAATCGCGTCATTCTCGAACGGTATAAATCCGTTTCGATTAAAATTCGCTACGAGAGATGCGCTGAATTATTAACGGTTGTCTATAAAATTTGATCGTCGTAGAAGGGATATTCGCGTTTCCTTGACCCACATCTTGACGGTGTAACGACCGTACGATAGGCTCGAACGTTCACCGTATGTTACATTGGTCGATGCAGTAACGGTGAAGGTAATTATTGTCGAACAACGCGGGATTTCGAAAGACAAGCAAGACTTTACGTTTGATTAGTTGTAGATTGTAATAGCTGAGATTTTCAATAGCCAGTTAAATTCATAAATCTTTAAGACCGCGTGTACGTATACGGCGTGAGATATTCAGTAGATCAAAGAGCAAATTCGATTCACGACATTATATGAAATTATAAAATATGTAAATCATAAATGAAGGAAAAAAAAGAGTATGAAATTTGATCATTAATATTCTTCGATTCGCACTTGGTATTTCGCGAGGAAAATGTAGAAAATTAATTCTCGCTGAACAGAGGATCCAGCCAGTTATTCAGTTGCAACTTAGCTGTAGCAGAGTCAAATTGATCGCTTTAGATACAATTATTAGCTACTTACAGGCCAAAGTGACGGCCATCTTTCCGGTATAGACGAGGAGTAATAACGATCCGTACATATATACGTAATTTGCTAGAACACCGTTAGCTCGGTAGCCGCTTCCCATGTATAGATATCCGAAGATCATGCCGATCAACAGGTGACAGAACAATCGCGCCATCAACAGCGTGTAGTCTCTTTTCAAGCATAACAACTGCCTCTTATACAAAAGATAGCATTGCATTAGGAAACCGGCGGGCGGTGGTGGTTCCTTGATAGCATTTTCTGGCAATGATGGATAAAAGAGATTATCAGCATCGATTTCTTGGAGCAATAAATTTTTTTCATATGTCCTATGATTAATTGCCTCGCGTACGCGTTCAGAGATATCGAAATAAATTTTAAAAAGGCACAAAGAATTTAATAATATATATACATATATATATTGTATATTAATTTGCATAAATTCTTCGGCGCGCGAATTTTAGATATAAAAAAGCTTACATCAAAAAACACGCACAGATTCTATGAATGACTGGACGCTTTATCCAAGATATTAATAGCCGCGCACTCGAATAGGTTCTTTTATGAAGGAGATAAAATTTCTAAAAAGAGTGCTTACTTTCTTCAGACAGCAGCTCCGTAGTAAGAGCGACCGACTTCTGATTGACCTGTATCGTTTCCGCTGCCGCTACCAGCTTATCGAGCGAAATACCGTATTCGCCGACCGCCACCTCGAGAACTGAAACGAATTCAAAATTCAAACGGTTGATTTTTGAGTCATTGTTTCTTAGAAGTGATGAACATATAGACTATTACATATGCTTATTGAATGCTAATCGCAATTTCAATATATTCGATTACATTTATAATCGACCTATTCGCGTATAACGTGAATAACATAAAAATTATTCTTTTTCAATATATCAAATAAAGAGTTTATCTCGATAGTAGAGCAAATCCACGATTGGGCGATATAAGAATAAATTAATACATTTTAAACAATCGTTATATTTCTCATTGAAAACGCCGGCAACATTCAATTCCTTCAGCAAATTTACATTTAATATTTTAAACAATATTACAATATGCTTATGATGAGTCACTTTTAAAATCGCGTGCAATTTGTGATAAAGTTTGTTTTATAGATACGCACTTAAAGCGAACCGCGCAAGAGAAAGATACCTTGTTCCGGTTTTGCTCGCTGCTTCTCGCGCGCAATCAGTCGGCTGATTATTTGTCAAGGCTGTCCTACTTACCGAAATCCGCTGGATTGTGATAAGGTGGACAATTGGCGCCAATGGAAGCCAAGTGCGGTAACAAAGAACTAACCGGGCCTCTATATGTACAGTAACCACCGGCCACGATGTACAGGGAATCGAACATCTCGAGGATCAAGGCGCTCGGTTGATGAATCGTACAGATTACTGTACGCCTCTCCAATCTCGCCAATCGTTTCATAAGAGCGACGCATTGGCTGCACGAAGCGGCATCCAGACCTGAAAGAATGTTTTTGTCGAATGTTTAAGATAGAATAATTTGACAATCGTTTACGCATTTCTTTCTTTCTTTCTTTCTTTCTTTCTTTCACGAAATTTATCTCACAACGATAAAGAGTAGAAGGTCTTGGAGTGATGCAATCTCGACAAATTCGTACATACGCGATATTATTAAGCAAGCGCGGCGTAATTGAAGCTGGAAATGCGAAATGAGGTAATCGGAAACACACATCGCAAATTGCAAGGCAAGTCGTTGCGAGACACTCCATGACTTGGCTGTCACGGAACGACGTAATTACGCGCACGACCTTTCTGTATTATACATTCTGATGCAAATGAGTATATTGCAGTCATTGCAAAATATTAAATTGCCATGTGTACATATTGTAGATAATTATTGTTAGCCGCATTCTTCCTGGCAAAGTTGATGTACCTTTAATTGCGATTGATACTTGATGAACATTGGATTACAATCGATGTCTATTAACTGTAAAACATAATTTCGAAAGGCCGACTCTCTTTTACTATTTCATTTGTCTCTTCTAGGACTTGATCTCTTATCCTCTCTACTCATATCTCTCTCTCTCTCTCTCTCTCTTTCTCGGCTTTTTGTAATTATATTTATTTAAGATGTTACAACACAGTAAAGTCGTAAAATCGTCAAGAGTTATTTGTCTTCGTATCAAAGTTTTACTGCTCACCGGTCGTTGGTTCGTCGAGGAATAATACTGAAGGGTTGGTCAAGAGCTCCAAGGCGATGTCGAGTCGCTTCTTTTGTCCTCCCGACAATTTCCCGCATAGCGTGTCGTAGCAATGGGTCAATCCCAGCATCTCTAGCAACTCCAAAACCTATACATAAGCAAAAAATAATGTTGAGGCTTCTAGACGGGGAACAACGAACAATGCTTAATTCATAAAAATGTAACGTATGCGGAAAACGCGTTTTCTATCAAGCCTGTTATAGATTTTTCATAATCAACAAGCGCATGAGATTTTTCATGTTTTTTTTTTTTTTTTTTTTTTTTTTTTTTTTTTTTTTTTTTATGCATAGCACAATATGTATCTCTCATTAAAGCAAGTTATATATCACAAACCTGAGTGTGTTTGTAGGCGGAACTGATTGTGCATCCGAGCTTCAGATGGGCGGTCACAGTCATGGCTTCTCCTACGGTGATCCACGTACGTTGAATAGAATCTTGCTGTATGTAGCACGACATCCTCTTCCATCGCTCGCTGTACGGTAGCCGAACCTTCCCATTGACCAGAACCTCTCCGCTCACACCCTTTACTCTGCGCATTGAATTATTACAGGAATAATTATACCACTCTAACGAAGGATATTGAAGAATACGGAAGATACAAAGAGATCTTTATGTATATACCGGGAGGAGAGAAAAAAATGTAAATTTCCCGTAAATATATTCTACGCGCCGGTTCGCCTTTTATATGTACAGTGATAATGAATTCGCATGAAGCTAATCAATTACGTAAGTTACTACGTAACTGTCAGCGTAATCAAATTACACGCGAAGAAAGAATTTTTTTTCTTATGGTGGTGCCATGGCGAGTGCCATGGCATTGGTCGATTTTTCAATTATCAATCTATCATTCCCTATATTTTGACGTGTGTAATTTTATATATAAATCCGTTATCTGTCATTTCTTTTTACTTTCAAGATACGAGTCAAGAACATCACACCGACTATCACCGTTTAGAGGCTACTCGTTTCTATCTCCATAAGCTAGGAGATTTATTTTTATCATTATAATACGTTTATGAATTACACTAATATATGCTGAAGGTAATCCTAAAATAAATCGAAACGTTAATGTATCGTTATTTTAATTTATGCTTATATTGAATAGACTAATTACGATATACATTCGTATCTGGCTCTTATTTGCTTTTTATATTTGTGTATTTATATCAGATATTTCGGAGCCATTTTCACGCAATTAGTTTCGTTGGAATTTTAATCATCTTTTATTTACTTATATACATAAGCTTCTCGCATATGATAATATTAAAATGATGAATATTTCATGTAATGTAATGTAATTAACTAAAGAAAAAAACATCTCTCTTTTTTATTATATATAACACGTTGAGAAGTAATCATGATATATTATCGTATATTAATGCAAAATGTGCGAATAAGTATATACGATAACATAAGTAATACTCGCAAAAACTTACAAAGCAAATAATAATTTTTAAATCGATCTCTTCCGTACATATTTATCATTATTTATAATATAATGACGGATGCGGGTAAGATACAAAAGATTAATCATCGGCAACCTAAACGTTTATTTCCTTATGATTGTATAATTGTAACCTTGAGTGTCAATGTCTATAAGACACTATTTAAATCAATTCAATTCCGCTCAGTGAGAGAAATAATATATTCGCTATGACAGGCGCAAAGCTCTCTTTAAAATTGTAAAATTTAACAGGTACCACTACATACGATTAGGAAACGATTATGAAACCAACATGTGTGCTATGTGAGATATCAATAATAATATAAAGAAACTTACATATTGACGTATAAAAAATATAAAAAAATTACTGCGCACGAATATAATCGAGTAAGAAAGAGATTTATAATCCAAAGCAAACTTATCATACAGGTCTCGGACGTATGACAAATATATCGCTAATTAACGAGGCATGTCGCGATTAATCATTCCGCGATACACCCGGAGTCTATTTCAGCGAGTGCTGCTCCTGCGACGGAAATTATTTCTCGCGAGCTATTCAGAAAGCATCGCATGCGTTCGTATCATGATGTCACAGAATTCGTAAAAAATCGCGATAGACATATCTCATCGCATTTAACGTGATTACGACGTAATACGCGTGACACGAAAAATGATCGCTGGAAAAATCGCATTTTCACGTGGAAGCTATCATCGATCTTCGTGCTCATTCGCTCTTAAATCTCGTAACTAAACTTCGACAAACGGCTCTTGTGAAACTCGACGAATCGCTCCTTAGCACACAAAAAATGGTGATATCGCATATGTTTTGCATGTAATCAATCTAAATGACAGAGACAGAATTCATATTTGAACTGTTAGTGAAATTTAGAGAGAAAGTTTTTTATGGCTCTCTATATCCATGTTAAGGCTAATCATACTTGTTATAATGCTTGATTGTGGTACACAGAAAAATCGTTTCTCACAAGAATCGTTCTTGAAAGTTAGAAATTCATATTTATCCAATGCAGGTGATTAATATTTGGCAATGGGATTTAAATTTTTCAAAAGATATTATTAGAATTTGCTGCCATAAATTCTACAAGTTACAAACAAAATTCTAGCAGATACAAAAAATAGCGGTGAATTGTTGTTGTGACTAAAAATCTATCTATATCAGCAAAACAGTTTTTTGAGTGTAATCGATTTGATTCTGATGCCCGATCGGCGACAGCAAAAAGTCATCGTCAAAAATGGAAAAAAAGAGCATTGGAAGTTCAACACTAAATATATGTACATATTGTCTAGAATCAATTCCTGTTTTTCCCGTTTCGTTCATCAAAATATCCAGTTTTATTATCGCGTATATGTCACGTTATGACATTAAAATTTAAACTTCAATCGACGAAAGCTTTAAACATGAAGATACGGCGCATAGGCGATAAAGTACTCGTGCTGTACGCGTATACAAATAGAGATAAGTCTCTAAACTCCTCGTGTATATGTGTGTCGAGGATGATATTTATTCTCATCAAATACTTACGTGAAACCGGCGAGAACGTTGAGTAACGTCGACTTTCCGGCTCCGGATGGCCCCATGATACCCACTAATTCGCCGGCCTTAAATTCACCGCTGACGCCGTGCAGAATTTCTTTCTCGTCTACAACAAAGCACAATTACGAATGCAATTACGCTCGATTGCATCATGAGGATTTCACGCGATGATTCATATTGTCAATTGCTCAACTGCAACGCGGGGCGGTAATTCTTTAAGCTATTGTTTGACCTAAGTAGCAAAGCGAAAATTTAAAAAAAATAAATAAATGCGTAAGCACGAAACGTAACAACGAGCCTTGGACTTATGTGTCACACGTTGCATTGACGTTCGCTCTTTTTGCTTTTATGCAAACATAATTGTTTCAAGAATATCCAAGGGAGTCTTTGACTCTATAAACGACGTAATTACTTTACTCACGTAAAGTTACGGTACGTATGAGGAGCGTAGATATGAGTATAGTAAAATCAAGATTATCTTGATTATTAAAATTAAAATTATCTTGATTATTAAAATCAAGATTATATGAATATTACGTTAGAGTATATGTGTGTATGTGTGTGTGTGTGTGTGTATGAAAGCGCAGTATTTTATTCCTAGCAGCTAAAAATATAGTGGTTCGAGAAGCAATTCAGTTTTCCCAATATAGATCTATATGCGATTTTTATGATATTTTAAAATTAAAAATCAACACTCACTGCGTGCGTGGATTGCACAATAGTTGATCCATTAAGGTGTCATGCTTACGAAATATTAAAATTTGCATAGATGATAAAGAACCGTTTTTGTTCCCAGTTTAATACATATGCATATGCAATATATTTAACGGTAATATATCTCGAGTAATATAATGCATCACAAATATCAATATTAATGCAATCATTAAGCTTTACTACCATTCAGCGAAAAACAATTTTCTCTCAGTATCTTTAATAAGAATCTTATCGAGATACACATAAGACGTGCCATGTGCACCTTTATATCTCGAAAGTAAATATATAGCTAAATTATTTCGTCATCTTTCCTTTTCTCAGGTTCATTTCTTTTATCCCTTCCTCGCGATGATATTTTAAAATATTTGTGCGTATCTTATATTTCATAAAATAAATCACAAATTAAATAAGAACCAAACTAAGCAAGCTCAAGACTGAGAGAGACCGTAATCTCTTATTTGTTCTTCGATAAGAGACGAACGATGGGAAGCGAACAATAGGAAAAATCCACGCGAAAGCGGATAGCATTTCTAGAACGCGATCCGATTATTTCTTTCAACCTTGCGCACGCTTCATGCAAACAAAACCTTGAACTGGTTTCGCGATAAATTGATAACAGAAGGAGTTTGCTTTTAATAAAGTTCGCAGCGCTCTAGCGCGATGCTCGGCCACGTAAGTGCGGGATGACGTGTATTAGCAGACGTGTATAACGAATGTCATTTTCTTTGCGCTATATATATATACAATTGTCATCGAACATATCGAAGTCATGTTTTTCCTCGACCGGCATTTTACGTAACGCCTTCCGTACGCATAATAGCATAAAGAGTTGTGATATCGCACTGGATGCCAAACGCGAACGAAGCTTTTCTCTCTTTTTCTTTCTTTCAATTAAAAAAAATAAAATAAAATAATTTTATAAATTTTTTTTTTTTTTTAAATTACTCAAAGTTGTCGTAAATCTAATCGCTTTATCCTGCTTCTGCCATTATCCGGACAACAAAAGTGATGACGAGAGTTTGAAATACGTGCTCGAGGGAAAATGGAAGGAAATTTATTCGACCCTCTTTCCTGTTCTTATTTTCTACTATTTAACAATAAGATAGATATCTTACATGTCGCGTGACTAATCTTCATTTTCGTCCCGCAGCGTTCGCTTTGTATCTTGAATTATTCGCTTATAAATCATGCAGGTTGTCTCACGACGCATATCAATAATAAAAGCCATAAAAATTTCTGATGTTTGCACAAGACTCGTCGTAACAATGGCGCACTTGTAAAAACAAATATGCTCATCCAAATTTATGAAAGTTCACGCTCTTGTTTCGCTTTATTCATAAAAATTAACACACAGGATGAACATGTGAATATAATAATTTTCATAAATCTTAACAAAAATAATAGTTAACAAAGAAAAAATGATTGACGAAGCAACATAATAGATTTTGATAAAAATGAATCTTTTCTCGCGCAAATACTATTTAATAATATTAATAAACCGACAAATTTTTATAGAATTGACTCCACAGTTCATCGAAGACTCCGTATAGTTATTCTACACAGTATTGTCTATGACGCACAACTATTGAACCATGATTAATGATTGAATTTTTATAGCGGATGTGGTATCATCACTCTTGACTTACAGCCGACCTAATAGTACTATTAGTTCGGCTGTAAGTCAAGAGTACGTTTAATGCACATTGTATACAAAAATTAAGATTTTTTTATTCGATTTCTTATTCGACTCGGATCGTAATAATTATATTTACGTTCTTGCGTAAAAGTGCTTGATACTAACAGGTATTTTTTTCAAAACAATAACATTATTTGAAGTAATAACGTTGCACTCTCTCTCTATTACACAAATAATAATGCTGTATATCATAATATACAACCGGGATTTTTTTAAATTTTTGCTTGATGTTTCATTCATAACTATACATATACTCTGAAAACACAATCTTTGCAATCTTTTATATATGCAAATTATCTCCTTTAATTTTTTATCTCTTACAAAAACCATTTGTTGAACAAATAATCACATATTCAGTACATATGTATGCTAGAATCGCGTTTCTCTCTCTTTCGCCTATTTTGAAAATGTATACATATATTTTTTCTGTCTTTTTTTTAAATTTTTATATGCATATGTAACATTAATATAGCATATATTATATGCATTGTATATATATCTTTTTTATGACATTCAGTAAATGCTTATTACAACTATGAACTAATAATTGCTTCATTAGCTTTTTTTGCAATTACCGATTGATTTTATTTACGAGCTTGGAGGACATATGCAAGTTTAATAAATGCTAACTAAAGAAATATATAATAGAATAATAGCATTTTGCGAACAAGGATGCAATAATAAAGACATTGTAAAAACGTTTTGTTAATAGATAAAATAATAGCACCTCGCAGCATGGTGAATTGAATTGTATCATTAACAGTAGCGCACGCAATAGGTCACCGAACAGATGACAGTAATATATTTTTTTACGTAAATACGTAATTAATTATTGCACCTGTGTAGAAATGAAACGTAGCAAAAAAGATATATAAATGTGAATCCAAATCGTTATTAATGTATTTGCTGACAAATAGCTGTCATGCAGATCTCCGCGAGCAATCGCATTATGGAAATGTGTTTGAATAATAAAATGTGATCATCACTATCTCTCCATCAAATGGATTTGTAAATAATATAAAGAGGAAAATGACAGTTACGTCATTCTATAAATTAATTTTTGCAGTTAGTTTACTAATATCTAATACTTTAAGTACAACCATTTATTTGCATATAATCGCGATTTCAAAGAAAATCTTTTTAATTTATTGTTGAATTATGTAAAAATCTCTCTCTATTTGCTAAATATTTTTTTTTAATCTTCCAATTTGTAAAAATTGTTAAAAATGATGGCTATCGTTAAATAGTATTACTCGTGTATTTGACTGACGTTTTAATATGGCATATCTCGATATTATAAAGAGGATTGCTATTAATCCACGATTTCACTATGTAACTTTTGTACGTTATATTTTGAAAACGCGTAGCGAGACACTTTCTCCGTTTAAAACTTTCTTCCTTTGCCGTACAACGTGTGGCGTGTTACAAATACTTTCTCCTAAAGTCTCTCACTTTAATCCTACAATACTGTCGTACGTTATTAAAGCGATTTTTAATTATTTTTTTCCATAGTGATTTTTATAACGTTTAAAGCTGCAAAAATAATTTGCCTGTTTTCATTTGCGTGCAACTATCATGAATTTAAAAAGATCTCTCTTATAAGTCGGTTAGGTGTTGTGTTTCTGATTGTTCTGGGAAATAATACTTTACGTATTGCAATATAATTAAAAAATGCATTTATAAGTCTCTAATGCACACATTTTATTTTAATATTGATTTCTTCTTCCAAAATTTGTTAAAAAAATGTGAGAATAAGAATTATATTCAGGAAATATATTTCTAATGATTGTATATTGATATTGACACAAAATGCATGTAATCTTCAACTTTACAGCACATCGATAACCTAAGGATCAAATGATAATCTTAAAAAAAGTATATATATATGTGTGTGTGTGTGTATAATAGAAAAATATCAGAAGTTAGAAAAAAATGACATGTTAAAATTATTCTCTACACACAATATGTCAGAAAAAATATACATCTCAATTATTATTATACATATTAATGTATATAATACGTTATACCATAAAAATTAATAAAGAAAAAGATTGTCATGCAGACGTCAATCCTTAATTGTAAACATTAGCTTGGCTTTGTAACAGCTAATGAGTTATACATTCTGTATTATATACGTTACATTATCATTTTTCCTCGATACTTACTGGCTGAGAATCTGCATAGACTCCATTCCCTGACGCGATAACGTATATCGCGAAATGACAAGTCGAGCTGAGGCCTTTTTGGGAAGCAGTGTTTCTCCCGTTCCAGGAAATAATTGTTGTTCCCGATAATTGCAGAATCCCGCACGTCATCTTGACTGATGCGATCAAATTGGCAACAGCTCAGGGACGATCGCGAGGGCGAACAATGCGTCGGTGAGGTCATCACGGAATGCGAAAATGCGCGATGAATTCGAATTGCTTCAGTTCCACTGGTCAGTTGAGTGTGTACGCAAAAAAAAACCACGTCACAACAATCTCAAAATATCATTCGGCTCGCTTTAAACGCGTAAGAGCATCTCGATTCACTTCACTTTCTTAATCCTCTCGTTTTGCCGCAGTTACGAAAAAATTTGTTGTATTTGTTCGCTCGTTTACTCCTGTTCGCGCATAATTTATCCAATCTGAAATAATAAACAGACGTGTGTCAGAAAAATATTTATAATCATGATTTAATTATGAAAAATAGAAATATAAGCTGATCATCTGGTCAATCGTCGCTTAACGGATAATGATATGCACAGAGATGAAATCGAATAAACAGATATATATATATATATACATACATATATGTATACGTGAATAAAAAAAAATGTATCGCGTCAAAAATTATAAGTGAATATTTTGTCAAAATGTTAAGCACAGTTTTTTAAAAAAAAATTATATAATGATTACTGCAAAATCTGATGCGGGGTTATCAAGGAACACGAGCGCGAAACTACTGCGTTATCATATAAAATTTTGCTTGATCTACATATTGAATGAACTTGCTCTCGTTAATTATTGTGTCTAACACATATGAGAAATATTAATAATTGAATATTAATAATTGAAAATATCTACATTTTATAAAAGTATATATATGTGTATAATATATATAAGTTCTCTACATTTATATATAATTTCTTTTTTGTTTAAGAAAAGAGAACTTTTCTTTCGTTCCGCACGTAAGTGTGAAAGACGTAAAAATGAAATTTTTTCAATTCTGTTATGGCTTTTTTCAATTTAAAATTACACGCCCAACTTATATCGTGTCACATTACGATATTGTACTCGAAGTTTCATGCTAATTGGTCATAAAATATTAAAAGCTTATTATTTGTTGTGCTAGCGATCGAATATAATCGGGGCAGGTCGGTCAAATACAAAGTCGAAGGATAAAGGCCTTATCGTGCGGAAAATTGGCTCGCTCAGACTATTAGTCCGATTCTCAATTTTATTGCAATAAACGCCACGAGAGAAATCTGCGACGCGGACATGTGCCTGTCGAAATGTACATAAGAAAAAAGATATCGAATTATTTGTGTTTTATGTATATACGGACCGCATATTTATCCCCATTTATCAAACTTTTGAATAGTTCGATTTTTTGTATGTTCTCGATAAAAGTCGAGTTATTTTAATTTATCCTTGACAGTCACAAAGATACAATCGTATTTCTCTCTCTCTCTCTCTCTCTTTTTGTAAAAACTGCACAAATTTATCCACTTGCTTGTGGCGATTAAATCATCACTCATTAGGTTTCATTATTAGACCAGCCATGTATAAAAAATTGATACATTTATGATAAAGCAGCGTATATAATTGATATTCCCTTGCAACTACAATATTATATTCTTTTATGCGCTAAACTTTATGCGATTTTACGAGCGCAAAAAGAAGTTAACATATCCATCGCAAAATAAATCATCGAGATTGTTGATAATCGGTAAATTAAAAAAATAATTCTCTATAAAAATGACTATTAGCATATACATAATGTCATAAACTTGTACTTGATATGTCATGTAATTATTGCATATAATCTATACTGAAGGTCCTAAAAACTGATGCAAATTATGCAAATTTTTGCTCGATTAAATGTAAAGTCTTACAAAAAACGTAAATGTAAATGTATCTCTTATTAAATAATTATGCAATCTAATTATACAATCTAATACAATCTAATACTCATGTTTGCATGTGAAAGGAATAGGATTCACTGTAAACAGAATTATCTTCTTATTCATAGATTAAACTTTTTAATACTGCGTTTTCTTTTAATTTATTTTAATATTATTACTAAAATTCTTATATTTTTGATTTATCTTTTTTCGAAAGTGATTTCAATAAATTAATGATTTTTGTGGCAAATTACATCAAACACGATTTGAATAATTTTCAGTTAGATGCATAACAAAAATTTTTATTATGCATCTAATTAAAAATTATCAAAATTATGGCGCGTTTAGTATCATTTTAATCGCAAAAAATTCATTAATTCATTACAATTACTTTTGAAAAAAATAAATTTAAAATATAAAAACTTCAGTTTTTTTTTATTATATTCAGATAGTAACTAAAGTACATTTAAAAAAAGTATAAATTATGTTTTTGTATCTATAATAAAAACGATTCATTCAAGTTCAATTTTGATTTGTTTTTGAAGAATTTACCTAATTAAGAATAATAATTACATAATTATATAGCCAATAAGAATGCGATCGGTATTTAAAATAATAGTGGTTAGTTCAAATCTATCATCTAAAAAATCAAAAATAATAAAAAATCACACAATTTGCAATAATCAAAATATAAAGATGCCAAATATTTAAAAAAAAAACAACAATATTTTGAAAAAAACAGGGCTTGTTTTTTTCATAAAAACTCGTATTTTATAAAAAAAAACATTTTTTTCCATTTACATCTCTGCAATTCTGAAACAAGCTAAACTCTTACATAAAGTTCGCTCTTTTCCATTTAGTATGTATGATTCAGCAATTCCCACGCAATTATTCTGTATATTTCAAGGTAATGAATGCGTATCAGCAGACAGATATCTCGCGTAGCGTAACTTTTACGATTAATCTGCATTAAATTATATATTCCCATAAACTTCAAACTTTCACATAAGAACGCATATCTGACATCTATTATGAATAAAATCACATTTTTATATCGATATCAATGCATAATAGATTATAAATACCTGGATTATAAATAACGCAATATATTTGAAACATAAATAAATATATCAATCTCTTTCAAAATCAAATTATTATTCTTTTATCTTATTTTCTTTTTATTAATCATGCATTATCGAAATAATGACAGATTGAAAGAAGGGGGGATAAATAATATGCTTTTAAACCAAAGCAGTTTAACGCAATTATATGTATTATGACTCTACGACTTTGACAGCTTAATCGACAGCGGAAGAACTCGCAACGGATAATTAGATATCGTAAATTCTTTCTAAACTGCAAGAAAAAAATCAGTTTCTCCGTTCATTGATTGAATGAATTGCGTGAAATCTACACGACCTAGCGTAACTGTATATTTTTCTTTTGTTGTTTTTTTTCTTGCGAATGATTTTTATCTACATTTCTTTCGACTCTTAAAGTCTCAAGAAATCAGCTATTAATGCATTTTATATCGTAATATTGCAATTCGAGACACGCAAAAAATGAAGTACATATGTACAATCATCGTGCGCAAAAGATTGAATATCCTCGCAGCAAATGATAATTTAATCTTTCCCACATCCGCCATCGCACATTTTGCTTGAGTAAATTATAAATAATTAATAATTAATAAAATTATATTCGTGAATTTCTCCCGTAATTTAATTGAAAAATCATAAGGCGTTGAGATAAATACTTAATCTTAACTCTCCAATGTATCGAGAGATATACAAATAATATATATTTAAAAAATTAATAATAAAATATAATACTCAAAGAGAGAGTGTGACCGTGAAAAAAGGAAATAGAAATATTCTTCGTATATATATATACTTTATAAAACATTCTCCTTCTCTCTTATCATCGTAGAGATAACTGTGAAGGACACTAGATGTAATTAAACGGGCGGACAATATAAATACGTCTCTGTTTTACATCGTTTACATTGATGGAAATTTTTACAGAAAAATTGCACGGTCTTAAAAAAAAAAAAAAAAAAAAAAAAAAACAGTTACTTAATCTTTTTAATTTCGAAAATAAAACGTGAAGAAACCAAGAAAGTAAATAAAAGGGAGAGAGAGAGATTGCCATGAGTGTTGTGTGTATGTGTGTGTTTAGAAAGAGATGAGAATAAGCAAAGACCGTCCCACTTTCACAAAATAAGAGCTCTCGACATGATTTTTCACGTGTATTCAATTCCAAAAGACTGCAATTTTTTCTTTTCAGAAATCGCTATTACAAACCGTTATCAATTTTTACGATTGCTGCGGTGACCGAATTTCTCTCACTCTTTCTACAGGAATATATCTTTCATATTTCCTTCAATGTCACATTATTTTTCTTCTTTCTTTTCAATACAACGAACATGTGAAAATACATACATATATGTTTTGCGCGTACAACACTTCTTTGTTATACCTATTTTCAAAAAATTTCATCATTTCATATACAAAGCAAATGTCGAATAACATTCAAACTCATTGGCTTGCAAATTAATTCAGTTAATTTGGAAATCGAAAGGCGGAAGTCTCTGTTTTTTGTTTATTTTTTAGAGGGAACCGGTTTATATCGATGCACGATTTAATGTCAACGTCTAAATACTTCGGTATCAAGCTCGTACACACACACACACACACACATATAT